ACCAGACTGTACACAGTTGCACCATCGGGCACAACCTGGCACATAAGCTTAGAGTTTACATAGTTTTGTAATTGAGGCCTACCAAATTTCTTCCGAAACACAACTGCTACACCAGCAGACATATTTTTGTTGTGATCTAAGTCGCTTGAAATGGTGTGAGCAAATGCTGCAGATGGATCATTTCTATATACATCAATGGCATTCCACATGTTGGTTTCAACAACATTTATAACATTCGGCTTAATAGAATTCTTAAGATTATTTACAGGATTGGACTTGAAGTTGCTAGTTTTTAATGACCTATCTTTATTTTTAAGCATCTGCTTATTTGGATGAGGTCCCTTATTAGACTTTTTTCCATTTGAATCAAAACAGGAATTTTTACTAGCAGTATTATTTATAAAGTCAATGATCATAAAAGCCAGTTTTTTTTTACCCTTATAGTTCAAATGCAGGCCATGCCGGGAAAAACAATCTCTCTGAAAATAATCCAAATCAATAAGCTTAACGTTTTCCATTCGTGCTACAATTTCTCGGATGTAATTGTTTGACAAAGCTATGTCGTAGTGAATGTTGTTGCTGGGCTGCAGATCAAAACGAGGTGGAATTGTTGTAATACAGACTGGCCTTACGGCACTCAGAGCTTTAATTTTACTTTCCATTTCCTTGAAAATTATGTGTGGGGATTTTTTTATAATATCATTGGTCCCAGCTATCAGTATGAGAGGTTTTAGAGGACATTTTTCTGCTTGGCTGTATACATGTGTTATGTCAGCACCAGACTTAACCGTTCCGTTAACCAAGACTTGGTTACCACTGCACAGGCCAACAATCTGTGGAAGTCCTTTTCCTTGGCTATCTGCAAAGAGTTCCACTCGGACTGGGTCTCCATACAAAGTATTTTTAAAGCTCAGACCATTCATCACTCTAGTAGACTCCTTAACCTTTCCAGTAAATGTATTATTCACTTCTTGGGCCTGGTGTTCCAGTTGTTCCTGAGAAAGTAAGTTGTAGCTGTTGTTTAAGGATATAGGCCTACTATAACTACAATTCTTTTTACTAGTCACTTTTCTGGGGATTTGCCATATTTCTTGTGTTTGACAGTATTTATCTTGGTGCAGTATGTGTGAATGATCCTTATTGTTTCCATACTCAGGTAGTTCAAACATCATATCAGAGATAACATCAGATGATAAATGTTGAAAAGTGTGCCACAGAGAGGCCAACTGAGCTCTCTTTGTAACAATGTGAGATTGTTTTATTGTACAAGGAATTGTACTGCCCTCAACTCCCAATCCTTCCAATGTATTATGTTTTATCATCTGAACTATTACGTCAGTGAAGATTGTCAGATAAACACCACAATCAGCAGTGTTTGATTGTTGAGGAACATTCACAACTTGGAAGGGAAGTTCAGTACTAATTTTTAAAAAAATACTCACTTTCTTAGCAACTTGTTGTGCATGGACTAAATTATAAGTTCCACAAGAGTCAAAATAGAAGAACTTCTTCAGGGTTTTAGTAAACAACAATAAGCTCCAGTGTGAACCACTTTTTCTGTACTGATTTTGAGCATCATTTGGATCTTTTGTATTAGTTTCAAACTGAACATCATTGATGGGGAAAAGGATATATGTCTTATCACTTAAGTCCAGAGGAGACAGGAGGTCATCTACGTCTTGAAGGCATTTAATTGCTTGAGTAACTACTGCGTTCATTAGCAATATTTTCTCTGTAGTGTGCAAAACCGAAAGGGTGAGTCTATTATAGTAGAGCAAGATTGTGTCGTCAGTAACCCACTCATTTTTCAGTAATGACAGACTGATCAAATTGTTTTTGTCGGCAATAACTTGATGTTGCTCCGAGGATACATATAGAACTATTCCCGCTTCGATATTGTCCTAGGGCTCTGCCCCGTGGGCTTTCAAAAATTTGAGGTGAGAGATTTAAAAGTAAATATTGATTGATGGTATCCATGGTAACAAAGAACAAACCTACAAAGTTTAAAAATGTAAACAAGCAGAACTAACTGTCAAATGAATGTTGATTTCATATTTCCACACAGCTGGTTCAAACATATTAAATACTGCACGAATATTAGAACAGAGAGGGTAAGGATTATAAATTTAAAATAATGATGTCACTAGCCCGAATGTAAACATTATTTGACATTACTTAAATGGAGCTGTCAAACCATATGTTAATATAATTTGAATTTCATTAGTATATGAATCTTTCAGTTACTTCATTTGTTTATGTTTATGATCTATTATACTGAGTCTGTTCTAATATTTGTGAAATGCTGTAATAATATTTTAGAGGGAATAATTCGTTGTAAAAAAATTGTTCATGGATATAGGAAATAATTAAGATTCTATAATCATTGCCCTATCAATCTAGGCTCTTATTCTGAGTTTTATGAGGTTTATTGTGATAGTTTTTCGTTTACAGTGCAAACCAAGAAATACATTCTTTTATTATACCTTAAAATCTATCTTTGGTTTTGTATGGTAGGTAGCATAAATAAGTAATCACAGTAAGATTTAACAAAAACGTACTATTATCAAGTTAAGTAGTACAGTTAAATTTTGTTTCTAAATTTGGCATTTGGAAAACCATTTGGCATGTTTCTAAGAACCAACATTGTCTCTTTTGCATACTGACCCCGATGCAAGGCCCGGGTATAGCTGCTAGCAAATTGAATAGTAGCGCTGATTTGCAGTAGCTGTTCAAATGGCGCTACTAATTGCACCAACGATAACATTAGGTTTAACGAGTACCTAGGTTTTTGCTGCCTACAGGGAGGGCAACGAAGTGTGATTTTAAGGAACATATCATTAGCTTACTATGAAATAAATACATTTGCCAAGTTTGATAAAAATTGATCCATAAACAAGCAATATTACAACAGTTTACTTATCCTACTAATATTATAAGTAAGAAAGTTTGGATGTATGGATGGATGGATGGATGTTTGTGACAAGTAAACGCGAAAAATACTAACGCTAATTTTAACCAACTAGCAACAAAAAGTTGTGGTACACAATGAGAACTTAACTTTTTTTCATGGTTTAGGTGCAGTGGTAGAAAATTAGGGCTATGGTAGATACTGTAGGACACTATAGGATACCGTATAAATTAAAAGACAAAATTTTCTTAAACCGTGTCCTCTCCCATAACTACAATAAGCATTTATACTTATATGCCAACCCCGTACGAAGGACGGGTACTCTGCTAGTGAAAAGATATTTACAAGAAATGATGATTATATCAATCTGTTATGTACATATTGAGTATTTCCATAATCTTTGAGTCAAATCTTTTAAAGTCATCAGACATTATGGTTGTTATTCGTTTTAAAATAACGCCTGTAATACTTAGCAATTGCTCGAATTCGAGCAACAGGGACACTAGTACTTATTTAATACGCAAGCAGGTTTTTTGTGACAATTACTCCTCCGAAACTACTGAACCGATTGACATGTTTTTGGTGTCATTGGAATGAGCGTAACGTGAAGTTGTGCAGGAAACTTTCTTTTTAGAGAAATACTTAGAGAGTGAGGCCCTGGGGCCCTTTAAAGTTTCATATTTCTCCATAAGATTAACATGGGAAACAAAAATTGTTATGAAACTCCTGCTGCTGTCAGAAATTAAAAGTGAAAAGAACATAATATGTTAATTGTAAACATTTGCTAATTTAACAGTTTGCTACAAACATTTACTGACTTGGTTGAAGTTAAATATTTACCCTTTAAATTTGGGTTGGCGTAAATATTACAATGGAAAAAACCAGAGAGCCTGGATAAATTGATATACTTAAAAGATAACTGAGTTAACACTGTGCTGCATTTCTTAGTAATCATTGAAATAGCCGATTTGCAAACTATGGAAACATAGGAAAGTCATAGAACACCACCAAGGAGAAGAAATAGAAATAATGTTTTTTTTTAGCATTTATAATTGTTATTATGGACAACCTAATGCGGCTATGAGTAAGGCTATTTGTAGAAAACACTAAATAAACAAGATCAGCTTTTGAAAAATGAAAAGATATTTACAAGAAATGATGATTATATCAATCTGTTATGTACATATTGAGTATTTCCATAATCTTTGAGTCAAATCTTTTAAAGTCATCAGACATTATGGTTGTTATTCGTTTTAAAATAACGCCTGTAATACTTAGCAATTGCTTGAATTCGAGCAACAGGGGCACTAGTAAATACTAATTCCTTTTCGCCCCTCAGTACAAACTGTTTTGCAGGACGACTCTTGTCAATTAACTTATGCTAACTTAAAACTAATACAAAAAAAGAAACAAATACATATCAACTACCCATTTACAATATTTTAGCTACATACAATTGTATATAAATTTCTTCAGCCTAGATTTCAAAGCTGGGGCACCCAGCAACTTAAGGTCAGAGGGGAGGTCATTGTATAGCAGGGTTCCTCACTTGAGGCTGGTATATTATACACACTAGGCTTGATTTCCTTAATTACAAAGGCGGCTTACTAAGAAAGTCATGAGATATGATTGTATGAAGTCTACAAAATATTATGAACAGTATTTTTTTATCAGAAATTAACTTAAGTCAAACAGTCTACCAACACAGCACAACCCAGTATGTATATCCACTTGTTAGCTATTATTTGATACTCCGTTGCTCATTTGCCACGCTATCAGACTGTTTTGTAAGAATTTATTAGACATATTTTTTAGTTTTAATACAAAATCGATTATTGTGTGATTATAATATGATATAGGTAAAAACTTTGTGAGTTTGTGGTTGTACAAATTTTTTGATGCTGTCAATCCTGCATGGTGGGGGAAAAATGTACCTCCAATCAGGATCTAGTTACGAGACTTTACTTTTATTAATTAACTTTGGATGAAATCTATCACAAGAACAATCTAGTTGCAACCACCAAATGATAATGCATTGTTTATTACATTCATATTATAAGAGTATTTTGTATATGGATGTGCAGCAGCTTACTTGGTCCTCCTCACTGCCACTCTCCAGCAAGCTCTGAGTGATGGCATACTGAAGCATGTCGTCATCTTCTTCCAGACTGATCTGTCGTCTCATGTCGGCTCCTGACACAAACAACAGATAACCAGCTACAATTATGTTCTCCAGGTCTTTAGAATGTATTATTTCTGTCAAGTTTAAGTTTAAAAAAGAGATTGGCAGCATCTTTTAGCCTTGCATTTGGTCGTAAACATATGCCTCACGCTGTGCGTGGAAAATATCCAGCACAGAGTGTGAGATATGTGGAACACATCCACAGCAAAAAAAATTGTGAGCCAATACAGTAAAAAAGTGAATTGTACTAATAAAATTTAGTGGCAGGTACCAGGATCCAAACCCTCAACACTCCTGTCATGAATTCAGAGTCTGTCACGATGAGGATTGATTCACAACAACATTCCAAAAATATAAAAATGGTTGAACCAAATAATAATAAAAATCTTTATTGGTCATAAGGATACATTAGATCATCGACAAAGTCAGAATCATGATCATACATCAATCGTCAAACAAAACAAAATCAAAAACACTTTCAATATTATGAACAAACAATAGGCCTTAATAACTAAAATATGCACAGTACATATGAATAAACAAACAACAATAATTAAGGATCTGATAAAGCAACAGGTGAGCAGCAGGGTTATGCAATCAAAGATTTATTTGGTCAGATTTGAAAAAATCTTCCAGGCTATAAGAAGGATTGTCTAATAGCCAATTAATAGCCAATTATAAAACAAGGACTTAAATTTTTCCTGCAGATAAGCACCAATATTGTGTTTTAAAAGGTTATATACTTTAGTTGATAACACTATGTGTGTAGTGTCATTCATATGCCCTTGCATTTAACATATATTTTATAATTTAGTTTGTTGTTGTGGTGGTGATGACTCTTGTTGAATAATAAACACATTCTTTACTTGCAGCATTTATTAGAATTTTATATTATCTTACAGCTCTTGCTAGTCTTACCATAGATAAAACATTACTCCCTTAGTAGATTTCTCATCCTTATGGAACAGGTGAAGACAACTATTATTGTTAGTTCTGTACGGTTTATGTAGAGGTCGTGTTTTGTTTACAATTTGTTTTCCGTTATTACAGTAATTTAAAACCTTGTTTAGCCAAATAATACAATCTAATCATAAACAATAACTTGTCCCCTAGTTATATAACCAAAGAGTAAAGCACAAATAAAGAAATCAACCCTAAAATAATGGAAACAAAATTTCGTCGACCCTAGCACCCATTGTCACCGTACATGAACTAGACATGAAAAGTGTGCTTCAAAATTTACATTGGGATGAGAAGTCTACTTGTGTTGGTTAGTCTATGGTCTTACTCAGACGATGTGATTCTAACGAGGCACTATTTTTAAATCTGGTATTGTGATTATGAATACTGAATTTTAGGTGATGGGATTTTTTCAACATATGTCGCGAATTTATAAGTTTTGTTCTAAATTAAGTAAGTATATAAATGTGGAAGCGTGAAATAAGTTTTATTTTTGACAATTAAAGTAGTTTAAGTTTCAGTTAACATAATCTTCTTGCTATTTGATAAACTAGTACCACTCAATTGTTTTCTTTTTATATTCACAACATCTGGTATTAATTACATATGCTACAAACAGTCTTTTGGGAAATATTATGGCTTTGCCACACTCCGGCCACTTGAGAAATTTCTTCAACACACCTGGTTAGTCTCATCACGGTTAATTTCAAGAGGGTAGAGTAATTTTAAAGGTCGAATTATTTTCTTTTTGTTGCTTGTAGTGACTGTTACGCTTCTGATATTTCCATCTCTGCTTGAGTGTAGTTCATTAATTCGACCAAGTCTCCAACATCCTCTGGGTAAATTATCGTGAATAAGGACAATATCTCCAATACTGGGGAATTGTGAAGACCGGCAACGTTTCTGCTTGATTTCAGATTGAGTCCTTTCTCAAACTAGTTAAGTAGTCTTTCTTCCAAAGAACCCAAAATGTGTTTATGAGGTTCTGTCCTTTTTTCCAAGTTTGAAGTATATGTTCAGTGTTGGATAGCTTATGGTCTGGATTAGTTGTCTTTCCACTCATTTCAATTCCATTTTTCCCGTGAAAATTCAGGAAATGACTGGGAGTTAAGATAAAATCTGATAAACTGGCTTCACTAGAAGAGACGTACACTAAAGGTCTTGAATTCAATACCGCTTCAATTTCAGTTAAAGTAGTTTCCAACTGAGTAAATGTAAGTACTGTCGGACCAATTGTCTTTCTTAAACACCTCTTTACTAAGGATATAAGTCGCTCATAGAAACCGCCCAACCAAGGTGATAGTTCAGGAATAAAACAGAACTCACATCCCTCATTATTTATGTAAGATAAAACACTAGAGTCGTTGAAGTTTTTTCTCCAAATATCTTCAGTAAATGAAGCGGCGAGTTTGAATTGAGGGGCATTGTCTAGAAATATTTGTTTTGGTTTACCTCTTCTGCTCATGAACCGTTTGAGACATAGAAGAAATTCTTCAGTTGTTAGATCGTTAACTAGCTCTAGATGAATGGCTCTTGTTGTAAGACAAGTAAATATGCAGCCATAAACTTTCCTTAAATCTCCAGAGTCATTGTTGTGATAGTCTTTAACGTATAATGGGCCGAAGTAATCGAGTCCAGTGTTGCTAAATGGGATCTGCTCTGTAACCCTCTCTTTTGGAAGTGGAGGCATGGGTGGCAATTTGTATGGACCACCCTCCCAACGAATACAAGTTAAACATTTCTTGATAGTTTTGTAGACTTGAGATCTTCCACACAAAATCCAGTATTCTTTTCTTATTTCTGCCAGAGTATGTTGAACTCCAACATGAAATAAAGCATTATGGTAGTGTTGTATCACTAGAGTTGAGAAGTATTCATTTTTACTTTCTCCCTCTATACCATAGTATAGTATATAGAGAAAGTATTGTTTTCGTCAAAATTTTCGAGTTTGAGTTTTGAGTGGATATATTCGTTTTGGGTCCCCCTGGACCCAAAAAAGTGGTTTTCGAAGTGATGTCTGTGTGTGCATGTGCGTGTGTGTGTGTGTGTCTGTGTGTCTGGGGATGTGTACAGAGCTAGAGACTACACCTGTGGTCCGATTTCGATGAAATTTGGTATGTAGGTTCTAATCCATGGTATCTCCAGGCGTTTTTTTCATTTTTTTGAAATTTTGATTTTTAATGGGGATTTCCCCATAAAAACCCTTAAAAAACCGGAAAAATCTGATTTTCTCAAAAATGGCCCGAACGATTTTTATTAAAATTTAGTATGTTGTAGCCCTTTAAATTCTGAACAAAATGGTACAAATCCCATTTCTGTAAAAATTACGGTTCAAAAGTTATGGTAAATTATGTTATTTTCCCATAAAAACCCCATAAAATAACGAAAAATCGGATTTTAGACAAAAATCCAGTTTTGATTAAACATAGTAGGTTATGGTCCTTACAATTTTGATAGTTTTTTTTAATTTTAGAAATTTTGATTTTAGATGGGGATTTTCCCATAAAACCCCATAAAAAAACTGAAAAATAAGATTTTCCCAAAAATGGCCCGAACGATTTAAAAAAAAAATTAGTATGTTATAGTCCTTTATATTCTGAACAAAATGGTACAAATCCCTTTTCTGTAAAAATTACGGTTCAAAAGTTATTGTAAATTATGTTATTTCCCCATAAAACCCCATTAAATAACGGAAAAATCGGATTTCCCAAAATTGGCTCGAACAATTTTGATAAAAATGTAGTATGTTATAGTCCTTTAAATTCTGAACAAAATTGTACAAATCCCATTTCCGTATATTTACTCTCACCGCTTACACATGATAAAGGTTGTTGACAAACTTATGGGAGAAAGTATTTGTCAGAATGCTGATACCGTTTATTTGGTAGAAGTTTAGGGTGTTTCTGGAGTATTGAAAGTTCAGCATATGAAAGCCTTCCGGAACATTTAAGCAGGCCGTCATAGTCAAGAAACAGTTTCAATTGTTTTTGAAGTGGATCCCCTTTATTGGTTTCGGTGTTACTTATAGTTTCGGAAAAGTGTTTCCTTTGAACATATTTTTCCCATCTTAGTTTAGCCAACTGGATTTCTTCAGCAGTCACGTTAGTTGTGGTATGAACAATGGATTGTCTTCTACACTTAGAAATAAATCTTTCGCAGAACGCTGTTACTCGTAGTAGTTTATTCAGAGTCGAAAATCGTTTGACATCAATTCCATATGGAGGTTCTAAGATCCTTTCTTCAGCTGTCTCATTAAACGCTGTTAATTCTTCTTTAACTTCATGAATTTCTTCAGTAGGATTAAAGTTCCAGTTCGGCCATTGGTTTTCAGGCAGATTAAACCACATTTGACAGCTGCAAAGTTCGTTAACATTCATGCCACGAGTTGCTACATCTGATGGATTATTTTCAGATGGAACATATTTAAATATAACATCTTTATTTGCCTTTATTTCAGAAACTCTTCGTTCAGTGAATTTAGGTAAAATCTTAGTTGTGTTAATCCAATGTAAGACACACTGGGAGTCGGTCCAAAGAAACTTTCTTGAAACTGGCTGTTCTAAATTCTTCTCCACAAAGTTCAAGGCACGCGAACCTATTAAAACCCCAAGTAGTTCCAGACGAGGCACAGAGATGTTTTTCTTAGTTTTAGGAGTTAAATGGCTTTTGGAAAATACGAGTTTAGATTTTGAAACTGATCCGTTTTGCACACGAACATATACTATAGTTGCATAGCAAATGTTCGAAGCGTCGGTGAAACAGTGCAACTCGATTGAGGTTGGTTCTAAACCAACATATCTTGGTATTGAAACATTAGAAATGCTGACAATATCACGTTTTATTTCTTGCCACTCCTTGCATCTGTCCTCGGTTAGGGACACGTCCCAGTCCAAATTTTCTTCCCACAAACTTTGAATAAAAAGCTTCGCTTTCAATGTTACTGGGATAAATAGACCAGAAGGGTCACACAACCCTTTAATTGAGGAATTGAGGGAACTTTAATTGGGTAATTGAGGATACGAGTTTCAACACAGTTCTCTTTGTACAAATATCTTCTATACAGTTAATTGGTTTTATGCTTAAAGTGTCCTCTGTAGTATCCCACTTTACACCCAAGACATTTACATTTGATTCATCTTCTTTTGTGAGCTTACGATGAGGTATGTTCTCTTTGAGCGCCTGAGAGTTGGAGCACCATCCTTGGAGGTTCATGTTTGCTTGTAAAAACAAATCAGTTACAAAGTCGTACAAACCAAGAGCCTCTTCATCAGTTTTGGCTCCTGTTACCATATTGTCAACATAGAATGAAGTTTTCAATTTCTTGGTGTCTTCTGTTAGTTCACTATGGGACAGGTGGTGCTTTATAGTAGCACTTAATAAGAAAGGACTTGAAATAACACTAAACGGAACTCTGGAAAATCTTAGTTCCTCAATGTTGTTTTGATTCACTGGCATTGACAAATCTTTTAACCATAAAAACCTAGTAACGTCTCTATCAGGTATGTTTAAGTTCAGTTGAAGGAAAGCTTTTTCTATATCAGCTATTATCCCTATAGGGTTGAGTTGAAAACGTATGAGCAATCCGCATAAGTCCTCTAGTATTACTGGGCCACGATAAAGGCAGTCGTTCAAACTATTAGAAGATTTCTTTGACTTGGCTGAAGCATCGTACACTATTCTTACCTTTGTTGTGGATTTTGCTTCGTTAATTATGGGATGATGTGGAATATAATGCTTAACAATGGCATTTCCAGTTTCCGGAACTTGTTCAATGATTCCCGCTGATCTCTGCTCCTTGATTATGTTATCATACTTTTGAAGCAAATCTGGTTAACCTTTTCACAAGCGATTTCAGTCGAGCTAATGAGAGAAAATAATTATCCGGCAAGTTTGGGGGGTATTCTTTCCATGGCCAAGAAACCGAATACCTATTCTCGACTAATTGGATAGTGTTATATATTTTGCTTCTGTACTTTTTATAAATTATCCATGTGTTAATTATTTACAATTTTCATATCATAATATTTACTATTCAGTTATGAATAAATAATTATACAAGTTACAAGTGCTTGTATTTATTAATTGGCGACGAGGATAAAAAAAAGAAACTACACTTTACTACCTTCAATTTTTTACAATTTATTATTTAATTACCTATTTTAATTGTTCATATCTGCACTAGTCAACTACATAATGGAAATATTACATAACATTGATTCAATAACAGATTTGAAGAAAGTACGGGCTATTGTAAAAGGCCAGATTACAAAGGCAGACAGACTTTTAGATGATGTATCCACTATACCAACAGAAGTCTTACAAAACAGAATGGATTTATTAGAAGAAAACTGGAAAAGATTTGAGACGGTTCAACTGAAGATAGAATTGAAGTCAAAGGAAGAAGATGTTGATGAAGAAGTTAGATACAGAGTTGACATGGAATAATGATCTAGCTTAAATGAATAGCTTAAATAAATCTAATGATCTAGGAATAAAAGATACAGCTAATGAGTTGACATGGAAGAACGATATTACAAAGTAAAAGATCAGTTACTTTCAAAATTTGGTAAATTTCTTTCCAATTTTTACCGGTTTTTTATAGGTGTTTCGGTCTTGATCACGTTTACCCACATCTAGATTAGCTGGGGATATGAAATTTGGCACGTTTATAAGTCTTGTGCCTTTTTACGAAAAATGACATTTTACAATATTAAACCTTCTCCTAAAATATCAAACTCTCCCACCCCCCTTGTTATTCTTATGGAGTTAATAACATTGAAAGTAGTTGACTTTACGTTTACCCATTTCTAGATTAACTGGATATATAAGATTTGGCATGATTTTACATCTTGCGCCCTTTTCAAAAAGTGACATTTTACAAATATAACTCCCCCTAAACCCCACGAAATATAGAATCCCCCCCCCAATGTTATTCCTACAGGTGCATTGGTCTAAATCAATTTTACCCACTTCTAGATTAGCTAAAGATCTGAAATTTGGCTCAATTGCAGGTCTTGCGCCATGGCCCATTTGTACTTACCCCCAACCAAAAAAGGGGGCGAGCCAAAGGCGAGTAAGTATATAAATGTGGAAGCGTGAAATAAGTTTTATTTTTGACAATTAAAGTAGTTTAAGTTTCAGTTAACATCATCTTCTTGCTATTTGTTCAACTAGTACCACTCAATTGTTTCCTTTTTATATTCACAACATCTGGTATTAATTACATATGCTACAAACAGTCTTTTGGGAAATGTTATGGCTTTGCCACAACATATAAAGGGTAAGATCATAAATAAACAAATTTATTACAGTTAGAATCTTAAAATTCTTAAAAAGAGGTTTGAATATACAATTCTCCTTGACTGGGACGGGTGGCGTCGTCCTGTAATCCAGCTACTAGGAGGTCACGAATTGTGGATATTTATAGGCATGTACTGTGGATGCAATACTCCCTGGTGTGGATTAACGTCCACACGAGTGAGTAATACGACTATCCGCAGTGCTATCCTGATAATTAGACCAATTCGTATATGCCAAAGCAAAAAAGTGGTTAGGATTCCAGTATAAACTGTAGGTCCCTTAGTTGTATGGGCTAAATTAACAGCTGTGTCTAAGGATTATGTCGGCCTTAGTCACTAACAAGACTACAAGATCGCGCCACTCATCTCACACTCATCTAAGAATGATCTAAGAATCATTCATACTTGGCTTAAAATACCTACATTTGTATGGTCGCCATTTCAAAGATAAGTATAAAAAAAGTAAAAGTATTATCTATACAACATGGCAATGATCTCCTGTCTTCAATCAACAGAGGGTTTTAATCTGCCTTTCCATTTACTGTGCTCTTTTACTTTTTACTATTGCAATTATTATTACTGTGATACTTGTTGACCAACCCTGGGTTGTTAAGGGTATCTCCTTGACCAGGTATCATCTAAAACATTTATACTTAAAACATATCACAGCATGTGATTTCTCCTTGAATCTAATGTTCATATATTTTATGGAGCTGCTTTTCAAAACTTAAAATCATCTTAAAGTAGTAAAGCATCATTCAAAGCACGTATTAAACATATAAAATCTCACCCATAAGTGTGTATGAAGCAGGTGGTTCGAAACAAGAGTCGTCAAGAATGCACGACACTCTTCCTTCTTCTTCTACTCTTTGAACTCCTGAGACTGGCTCATCCATTGCGAAAATGTTTCCAAAAGTGATTCTGGCGTTTAGCACATGAAATAACGGGATCTCTGCACAAATAGATGATTTAATGTAGTTTTTGCACCCTTATGACTAAAATCGCTTTTGATTATTTGAATATTAAAGTTATTCCAATAAATGTGACATAGAAGAAGCACTTGAGTTATCTAGTAGCCAAGTGTATGCCTTAACGTTAGGAGATATTCAAAAGGAATTGTAAAATTTGATTTATAAACTCAAGAGTTAATTAAATTGCTTTACATGTTATTCCTGTGGGTTCTTGGCTATTTCAGCAAATTTCCCATATAAGGAGTAAGCTATTACTGTAGGCCTCTTGCTGTCACCCTCAGTGTCCTCCACCCTTTAGCGACGGTACAATTAAATAAGTACAGATTATTCTCCAGGTGAGAACTCTATCTATAACTCTTTTTCCGTAACAATGTTCGTGCCCCCAGTTTGTTTGTTTTTGTGTCTATGTCAATGAAACCCCTTGACCCAACCCCAAACGACCAAATATTGTTACAATGTGATTTTCTCGACAATAGTATCTCCGTGATCATAATGCAACCAGCGTTGAAACCTTGGTTGTAGTTTACAACTACTTTTGAGCTGGTATGTAGATAAATGTATGGGGAATTACAATAAAATTACAGAATTGCAAATCAACACAGCAGTATACTGGACAATACGCGATAATATACTGTACTAGGTACTCATTAGGTCATTTTAGGTACCTTTGGTATAGTAGGTTTGCTACAAAGAGCTTAAATATACATTTGAGATGAACTTTAATTTCAAAGTTCGTCTGTTCTTTAAGTGTCAGTTCTTGGTTGATGGTTACACTATTCATTATAAGAATAAATGTATAGGCATACTATACTTATTTCCATGTCCATTGTGAAATACAGAGCCATAAGCAATGTATTTCAAAAGGCAATATCAGTGACACTAGCCATATTTAAAAACACACCTTAACTTTAACACTCAAGACCCGCAAAACGCTCCTTAAAATAACGTTATAATTTTCTTACGATTTTTTACTACGGTACTAAACTAATTTTGACGATACCAAACTCAAATATGTTAAAACTAGCAACAGAGCCTGTTGTGGTTAAATACAACGGTCGCTAGTAAAATAATGGTTATGAAATCAGTACACCACATTACTCACTAATATTAATGGTACAGAAAGCACATAACATTAGAATCACACACTTAACATAAGGAACGCACTTTAAACACAAAAGCAAATTGTTACCAACAACATTTAATCAAAGAAAAATAAAATAAATAACATTATAACAATTAGCTGTTAAATTATTAACACATGTTTCGTATGATTAGATTATGCATACTGGTAAAACCAATTATTGCCATCCCATCTATAAAAATTAGTGGTTTTTCTTTTCTGAGTCGGGTTAGCTCTTCTACCCGACCGATTTTCATAATTTTGGCTTAAACTAAAGGTATGGACGCACCACAGATTTGCCATCAAGCATCCTCACTCATTTTAAAGTATATTTTGAGTTACAGTATACACAAACTGCCTCCCTGTACATTTCTTATGGGAGTTAAATTTGGGATTTTTTTAGTTCGTTTGGCTCTTCTACCCGACCGATTTTCATAATTTTGGTCTTAAAATAAATTATAATCCATATCTTCTAGCCCCTGAGCTGGTTCTATAACTAAATTGAAATTTTACCTTTGTCATCCAGCTCCTGATTTATTATCAACTTGTTACGGCCGTTTCAGCATCACTGTGCCATCGTCGGACTGTTCAGCCAAAAGGCGTCGTTAAAACACAAAAACATATACACGAAACACACACATGAACAGTCCGACGATGGCACAGTGATGCTGAAACGGCCGTAACAAGTTGATAATAAATCAGGAGCTGGATGACAAAGGTAAAATTTCAATTTAGCTTAAAATAAAGCTATGCAAGCACATATTTGTCATCAAGCATCATCATTCATCATTAATTTATCTAATGTATTACCGGTACTCATGGAAAAAATATAATTTTTTTTTATTTTTTACTTCAATTAAAGATGTATTATAGCAGTTCCAATTACATTACCCTATATGTTTTGGTCAAAAAAAAACCTTAAGTGAAATACCAGCTTTCATTTGAGCTATTGATTATTAAGATCAAGCTACCTAAAGCACACTGCTGAATCACAAATCAACAATAATTATAATCGTTTTAGTACTTATCTGCAATCAATGATACGTAACTCTATTTTTGTTTAGGTTATTTTATATGTCTTGGTCTTAACCCTTCCCAGACGGGTGACGGATATATCCGACTAAGTCTTTGGCGATAAAGGACGGGTGGCGGATATATCCGCTTATGGTTTTTGATATTCCGGACGGGAAGCGGATATATCCGCCTTCTCTTCAGAAATACTGGCAGGTGCTTGAGCAGTAACTAGATGTTTCGTGCCTCCGTGCGGTACCGAGTTAGAATAGTACCGCAGCCTTCTCGGGCTTGTCGTAAGAGGCGACTAAAAGGGTGACCGACGAACTCACTGGGAGTCCCTGGGAGTGCCCCTGTTGTGTTGCAGGGGTTGATGTGTGCTCTGCACTGCCGATGGGTATTCTCAGTGGGTCGTGAGAAACCAGCCACTTCGGTCCTTGGTCAGGGAGTGCGGCATGGATGCAGAGGTCGGGCTCTGCATTGCGACGGGTGACCCCCGGCACGTCAGGTATCCGGTGCTGGGCAAATGGAGGTCGGGCCCCGGGGAACCGGGGTAGGGGTTTTTGTCCCCGAGGGTATACCCGTTCCTGACTGATTCCGGGCCGCTCCTTGCCGCACGATGCGCTGGAGAAAACACGATGAGTTTTGATAAAAATACCCCAAACACATCATTGAAGAGGAGCTCAAATGAGCAAGTAAATTCGTTTGAAGTGGAGCAGAGCCCTTTTGTCCGAAGCTCCAAACTTAAGAGGTCGCCACCACCGAAAAACGTGAGGACATCTCCGCCACCTGCACCTTTCAAGTGCTCTACGATTCCCCCGTTAGGATCTCCTTCGGGAAGTGGAGCTGGGAACGGTGCAGAAAATGTTGGCGATGTAGATGCTGTGGGGATGCCGAAGGAAACCCTCACAGCGACGTCGCGGTCGGAAAGCTCTGAGATTGTGCTTCTGCGTCAGGAATATTTTGACGCAGATAGTAACATTGAAACCCGGCTCCGTGACATGGAAAAGACCATTAAGGCTATGCTGGACACCTTCCGGACCCAGAGAGCCGTAAATCAAGTGGTCAAAAATGGAATGGCCAAACTAGAGGATGACCTTGGCTTTGTCTTTGCCTGCCGTCTGGTAAGCAAGGCGACCATGGAAAAGATTGCCGAAAAGGTGGTGTCCCTGCCCGATGAAAGAGCGCTGCCCTGGGCCCAGCTCGGTCCCTGTTCCGAAAAGGTCGCGGCCCAAAAAGCCCAGGACGGAGGCAATCCTTGTCAAACCCTCAGGGGGGAGATCTTTTGCCGAGGTCTTGGGCGTAATAAAGGCCAAAGCTAAACCGGAGCAGACCGATACGGTTGTACGGTCGATTAGACAAACCCGGGAAGGGGACGTTCTCCTTGAACTGGGTAAGTCGAAAGACAAGGCTGCTTTTACTGCCGAACTGAAGGCAGCTGTTGAAGGCCAGGGCACCGTCCGTGCTCTTGAGCCCAAGACATCAATTGAGGTTCGAGACATTGATTGTGTGTCGACGGAGAGTGACGTTGTTGAGGCCCTGAAGAAAGCTGTACCCGAGCTTGCCGGGCAAACGGCCATCCTAAGGGTTTGGCTCACAAAACCCAATAGGAGTCAGCAGCGGATGGCAATCGCCGAAATGGCAGACGCGCTTGCCACTAGGGTGCTGGCACTCCAGCATCTGAGAGTCGGCTGGGTCAACTGCAGGCTCAGACGGAGAGTGGAAGTGAAGAGGTGTTTTAAATGCCTCTGTTTCGGTCATTCCTCCCGAAACTGCAAGGGACCCGACCGAAGCAAGAACTGCCTTCGGTGCGGGGAGGTTGGTCACATCCGTAAGGACTGTAAAGTCGAGTCCTGTTTCCTTTGCAAAGAAAATGGGCTCGCTGACAAACACGTAAAGCATATAGCTGGGTCTGGGCAGTGTAGTGTATTTAAAACTGCTCTACAGCAAGCGAAATCTCTCCCACGAAGATAAGAATCCTTCAGTGCAATCTGGAGCGATCCAGGACGGCTGACGCACTTCTTTGTCAGTTTGCCCTCGAACACGATGTCGACGCTCTCTTAATCAGCGAACAGTACCAGTATCGAGATAGGGACCCATCTTTATGGTTCCCTGATAGTCTTGGTACTGCTGCATTCTGGGCTCGTAATGCAGCTAAAGTACAAGTGCGGGGTCACGCGAATGGCCGAGGTTTCGTTTGGGTTCGGTGCAGGGATGTCACTTACTTCAGTGTCTACCTTACTCCCAACGAGGCCATCCGTGACTTTCGTGAGAAGATAGACCGCCTAGAAGAGAGCGTGCGCGATACCACCGGACACGTCGTCGTGGGTGGGGATTTTAATGCTAGGGCTGTCGAGTGGGGAATGACCCTCACCAACTCCCGGGGCAAGTATATTCTGGACTTTGCTGCCAGAGCCGGACTCGTTGTACTGAATGAGGGCAACACGCCAACTTTCCGCCGCCCTGGGATGCGGGGGACGATCCCAGACATTACTCTTGCATCTGAGTCCCTTTTGCCAAGGATCAGATCCTGGAGAGTCCTGGAGGATTACACGGGCAGTGACCACCAGTACATAATTTTTGACGTCCTGGATGGTCATCAGAGACAAGTGGCAGCGTTTCGTCAAGTGCCCGTTCGATGGAACATTAAAAAACTGGACGTGGCAAAATTCAATGGAGCCATCCTACGAAGAACGTCGGATATTCATCCCGCAACTGGCGTGCCTCACGCAGAGGCGTTAGTTGCATCCACGATGGAACTGATTGTCTCGGCCTGCGATGAATCTATGCCTCGCAGGAGATACCGGTGCAATAAGCGTCCTGTGTACTGGTGGACTGCCGAGATTGCGG